TGATTTTAGAGAAAGAAGATTTAGATGTGTTTATATTCAACTTATTTTCTTTTTTCATTAATATAAATATACTAACTGGTTTAAGTTTTTATCAGTCAATTAATATTATGTGGTTGCAGTGTTGCTGTAGCTGTGACAATCCAGGATGCATACAAGATGAGACAAGCTATTTTTTGTGATGTTTGGACCAACTGCACAGTTGGGAGAGAAGTTTCAAGCAACTTGCTAAACTTGCTCAATTAATCATGAGAAGAAAACTCCCTACTGATCAACAGACATCAAATGGATCCATAGATCCTACAGAATTCTATCACAGAATGTGGTATATCTCAAACAACGCCTTAAAGGACACTATGTAGGTGAAACTAGACAAAACTGTGACTTAAGAATAAAGGATTCCAGGAAAAAGATAAAAACACAATGTAAAGGTAGTTGTCGGGGCTCTGCCAATTGTCACGCTTGCCTCTTTTGGGATGATACTTGTGGAAGGGGTGAAGTCTTCCTAGAGGGATATGTCAGCTAAGGCTGCCGGTAGTAGCTCACCCTAGTACAAAGTTGCCTGATACTATTACTATCAATACACTTTATTACAGTTTCTGGATTCTGGCTCTCTAAAATCAAGCTACCAAATAACACGGAGACATGCAGTCCCTAGTAGGAGAGCACTTTTCACAGAACAACCACTCCTTTTCTGACGTCAAATATCCTTGTAGTCCAGTGAAATTTATGAAGCACCTACAAAATGCCTTATGGGTCTGGGAACAAAAATCATAACCTTCTTGAACACTAAAAGCAATGGACTAAACGCAAGACAGTGGCTTAATGACTCATAGTCTACCTAACTACTACTAACTTTTCTGCATTACACAGGTAATAACAACCTTTTTCCCCCTTGAGTCATCTTATTCTTCTTCATAATTAGGATACCTACTTTTCTGAAGCTACTTCTGATCACCTCTCTGCTCTTACTTCACAGCTATCTCCATAACTTAAGGCTGGGGACAGAAGTTGCACAGAAACTGGTTTACGTGATCAGAAACTGGTTTAAACCTGTAACAAAACAGAAGCTCAGTAATCATAAACCAGTTTCAAAATGGCTGAAACTGGTTTAAGATAAACCTGACTGAATGTAGTATCAGACTTAACTGATTTAGGGATTTAGGTCAAATTGATTTATGAAACTTCTGTACCAGAGGCTTTCCTGGTTCAAGTTAAATCAGAGTCCCCCAGCATCCCAGCATAGGCTGTGTGTTTATGTCCTCTTCCTGCTGTTCCCGAGGTCTCTGGGATTTGCAGTCCAGACCCACAACAGCAGGACTCTGCAGGGTCGCTCATCACTTCCTTTTTCTGCTTTCGGGTGCCTCTGGGATTTGTAGTCCACGATCACAGCCAGTAGGACTTCACAGGGTTGTTCCCCTCTGTTCAATACATGCTTGCTTCAGAGAGAGGACTATTCTTGTTCAAGAATTTATGAATTCAGCGCCACTACCGTTTCCCCCACCCAGTCCCTCCTCAGCCTGGCAGGCACTGCCCCCCCTCCCCGGCAGACCATCTAGCTAGTTCTGGAATGGGGACTGGCCACGCCTCCCCTGCTGGAGCAGATATGAGGGGAAAACCTTGGAGCTGGCACGCTGGGAGGTGTGCTCTAGCACCCCCTGGCTTCTGGTTTGAGTCACTGAAGGCATGTGCCTGCATTACCTGAATCAAAAGTGAATGTCTGTTCATTTACAAATCAGTTCAATCTCTGCAGCTTAAATTAACCTGCAAAGACTGAATTGATTCAGCATTGGGCTTTTTGACTGTACTTAGCCTAAAGTCTGTACTTAGCCTAAGCCATACCTTCAGTTGACCCATGGAACCCTTTTATCTGGCATGCAGAATGGAGGTATGGTAGTGGTGGGGGTCTTTGCTCACATGGCAGCAAGGCAGCAGCCACACTTTGGCTAGGAGCAGTGTCTGCAGCTCCAGATTTAGTGCCACTCACATAGGCCAGCCTAGAAGCAGCCATGCTAAGAGCTAAGATACGGATAGATATTCAAAAAGCCTGAGCCTGAATTGATTCAATCTTTGCAGGTTAGTCTAAACTAGCTAGGCTAAACCAGTTTTGTAACCAGACAGACATCCTAGAAATGCAGCCCCCTGCCTGCAGTGGCTCAAGCTAGAAGCCAGGGGGCACTAGAGCAGCCCTCCCTCCCTTCCACAGTACTGAGCTGAGAGGGGTGTGGCCATGCTCCAGCAGGATGCTTTGATTAGCTCAGCAAGGAAATTGATAACAGGGTTTATCACCCCTAACTCAGTGTTTATCACCCCATTAAGAAAACAACAGAGGGATAAAACAACCAGGTACCTGTTGATTCTGCCTGTTGATTCAGCACTGACCATAGACAGCATGTGGTCTGCTAGCTAATACACAGACACCTCTCTGTAAGGTGGGGGGTGGAGGGTGGGGAGGGAAGAATTCCTGCTTATCAGGGGAAGGGGAGGAGCAGCCCACTGTCTCTGCTGGAGCAGAGGGGAGGGAGCCAGCAGTGCTGTGGAGCAGAGAGCCCCACTCAGCCCAGAGAGCATGTGGAGATGCTATAGGAATCTGGTTCATCTTAAACCAGCAAGGGGTCTGGGACAGACATTGCATAAACCAGTTTGTCCCAAATCAGTTAAGTCTGATACTCCATTCAACCAGGTTTATCTCAAACCAGTTTCAGCCATTTTCAAACTGGTTGATGTGCACTGAACATCTGTTCTGTTACAGGTTTAAACCAGTTTCTGATCACTCAAACTGATCTATGTGTAATGTCTGTCCCTGGACTTAAAGCACAATTGCCTATCTTCAGTTAATATTATGGTAAGCAAAGTAATGCCAGTTTCTTTAGAGGGTTCTAGTTATTTCTCTATATTCTATAAGGACCCACAGTTTTAAACTCTGTAGAACAAGGACTGAATCTACCTATGCAGTTCTGTGACACCTCCCCAGTGGCACTGTTCTTTAGCAACTATTACAGTACAAATTGGAATGATATGTTTGTATATTGATGCATGATGGAGATTTGGATTCTTTTGTTTACCCACAGGCAATCACCACTCCTTAAAAAGTTACAATGTTAATGATTATACATGAAGACATTTTTATCAACTGTCTCCCAGTAATGTTGCAAGCTAAGGCAATTCATCAGCACTACACTTATGCTCTCTTTCAAATTAAACAATCTGTTACACATTCACTTTCACAAAATGTAGAGGAAAATGATGGATTTTGTTTCTCAGTTTTGCAAATGATTTCAGAGTTCTAGTGTCTGAGGCATTTGTGACTGTATTTGGAGAAATAACTTTTTATAAAGCAAACACAAAAAATGAATGAATTTATTAAATGAATCTGGAGAATTCTATTAACAATATTAGACTTACCAAGTGTATCACTAAGATTAGACTTCTAGAAGCCCTAAATAGAAATTAAGCATCAAGAAAATAAATAGATTTCAGAGTCTGCAGGCAGACTCAAACTGCACATTTTAGTATACATATCAATGGGTTCGAGAAGGCTAAGTATTTTGCTCTCCTTGTTCAATGTCCATAGCAACAGCAACACCAACTGCAAGCCTCTGACACTACTGTTAATATATTTTCACAAAGACATTGTCACTAGCTGGCAGGGACTCAAACGTAATACCCCAAGGCTCTAGTCCACCTCTGCTGCTTTGTGTATTACAATGATAAAAGCATCTTTTTGGGTGGGGATTCGCTGCAAGGTATTCAATCTCTTAAATACAATGCACAGGCAATATTTATTTGTAATATAAACAAGTCAAAGATAATCCAGTTGTCCCATTTTTTCTAGTAGCAAAGAGGCTTCAGTAGTTTTGTTATGCTGAGTATCTGTGTGATTGTTTAGTGTCTCTCTGACTACAGACTTTCTACAATCACTGAGAATGCTCAAGTAAAAAATAGGAAAAAAAACCCTCTTTTGCCTTCACTTGTAGTTGTTATATTTCCAAGTCTAGTTTTCCAAAGTGCACATGCGATTATATACCCAAAAGTCCTTTGCTGCAGAACAATACAGATATTCTTGTCAACGGCTGAAAAGCTTGGCTAGTATAGTCATAAGGGTTTAAATATACTAATTAACCATCTTAGTGGAAATGCAGTTGTACGGGTGAAACAGTTCACTTGCTGGTATAGTAAATACTATTTTCTCCAAGCAAAAATAAAGTAGATCAGCCAAAGGACTGATAAAAGTTACCAGTATAACTGTGCCTATACTAGTGATTTTATGACACAGCTGTTTATGTTCCTCACCAACTTTGTATGGATAGAACAGAGTTCTCAGTCCTAATAGATTTAGAGGTCTCAAGTTGATATGATGGTGTTCCATACTGTATTTCTTCTTCTTCAGGGTTTTAGCTTACTTTGCATACCCAGTGGACATATTCTTGGTTTAGCCCATTCACCTTTCAGCCTTCTGCCACAGGAACTCTGTTCTTTGGTATACA